AAAACACCGATTTAATGGTTAGAGGCTTCGGACAGAACTTGCCTCTGATGCGGCTATCATTATCCAATTCCTCTAAGACGATCAGAGGAAGCTCTGAACTTTTCTAGAACTTTGGTTGACGGCTGCGCAGTCACTTCTGACTGAGATCACATAAAATAAGAATACTCGAGTTACCCAATACTACTTTCAGGAGACACCTTGACCCTTCTTCCTCGGAGAAAATGATGCAGGGGTCATTTTTCAATCTTAAGCTGGCGGCTGGAATTCTCCATGTTTTTAGTGTAAATCTCAATCGTGGTTGCCAAGGTAGGCACAAAAATCATTGGATTTCATTAATCTCTTCAAGATAGATGATAAGACTTTTTCGAGTTTGATTCATCAAAGGACAGTTCTGCCATGCTAAGGAAGAACGCCGTATGAACATTTGAGAGTTGCCAAATTTCCTTCGATAAAATGTTTATTTTTGAGTAAAGATATGTATATTTTTCCTGAAATTTTCAGGAGCTTTAGATGAAATTGCGCACAAAATTATCTATAAAACTTGAAGGAAAATATTCAGAAGCCTACCAAAAAATTCGTGTTTTATTATAGGAAATTTGGCAACGCCCGAAGGTTCATACGGCGTTCTTCCATGGCACGGCAGAGTTGACCACATGCAGCAAGTTGTACAAACATGGCAAACATGGCATTGAGCAAACATGGTGCACGCATATTGTTTCATGATTGAAGTAATTTCAAAGTAAAATCTGGCAAAGCTGACCTGTAAATTAATTGCTTATGTTGTCAATTTTGATGAAAAACTCACCATTTTACATCCGTTCTAACGAGGAAAATGTCGAATTTTTCCGCCAATTTGGTGACGTGTTGACTGTTGATGGAGTCGTTTAAGACTGGCTATGAATTGATAACCAATTAATTTCCATTGATAGGTGATTTTGGCCTCTCCTTGGTGCACGATAATCAATAAAGTACCCGTCATAAAAATAGGTTGAACATCACTTTGACTGAGTATTCTGACTGTAATCAACGGAGCGAACCAGCATATTCGAGAAGCACGGATTCATATCGCTCCATGAATTTTGCTAAACCAAAACAGGGCCGGATTTATCTACTTGCCGCCCATGGGCCGCCTGCATTTTGCCGACCCCTTCTCATTCGTTGTGAAACATCAATAAAAACAATCAAATGAACGTGCCAGCGGAGGAGGGGTGCATAAGACGCGGATTCTCGTGTTGAACATATTCTTCGGAAAAGCCCCGTCAACAATGCTAGCAAAAGATCACGGATCTTCGCGCAAAAGTTAAGTTTCGTAAACCTATCTCTGTGCGGACAAGGCATTCTTTTCATAAGAAATGAACGAAAAAATTATGAAAGAACAAACATAAAGGTGGAATAATGATTTTAACTTCCGCCGCCGCGCCACGCAGACCGCACCGAGTTCGGCGCAATGCGTGAAGTATTCAGACAGTTTTGTAGGCGCGATGAGTTTCACGGCGACCGCTGCTGAACGCATTGTGTTTGACGCAATGCGTGAAGTATTCGTGCAGTCTTGTAGGCGCTAATATATGTTACATGCCGATCGCCGCGCCGAGGGCTTCTCCTTTTCATCTCAAGTCCTCCTTATCATTTCTCTCTAAGACGCGCCGTTCTAGGCCAAATTGCGTGTTTGGTTTCTCTCGTAACTCGGCTTATTGAGGGTGCCGTCTCTTGTATCACTAAGAGACGACAAAATTAGAAATTACTATTCTCTCAGGAAATGAGAGATTTTGTCGCTTTTTCTCGTTTGTAATTTTGTTTTCATAAATCCGATTTTTTTTATACCTACACTTAAAAAATTGCAAATTTTTGCCGCCCCTCAGATTTGCCGCCATGGGCCGCGGCCCATGTGGCCACCCCCTTAATCCGGCCCTGTACAAGTCCGGAAAGTCCGGAAGTAGGACAGATTTTTAAACGGCGGTCTGGAAGCACTGAAAAAGTGCGGAAATTCCGCAAGAAGATCCGTAATTCTTCCCTTCAACCATGCGTGTTTAAAATAAAGCCTGGAAAGTATGCAATGGCAATCCCCTACCCGTTGGTTTTGGTGGAGTACTTACTTGCATTCAAAATCAAGACTTTGCAATCAGTTAATATTCAAGCCTTCAACGAAATTTTGTGAATTTCAAACCTCCGAAATTTTTCGATTTTCTTCAATCTGATTTCCCAAAATGTTGGTAGATAACGCTTTCATGCCCTGATGTCAATTAGCTTTGGACCAATGCCCCTTTTTTTCGTGAACGATGTAACATCTATTCTATAATTTATTTATGTATTTATTTATTTAATATTTATGTTTCTCAACAACCTATTTTCTGTATTAATTATTATTTATTTTCTTTGTTTGTTTCAGGTAAGTTACATACCTGGCTCGGCATGTTCACGCTGTATTATTTCTCCAGTATTTCGTGAGTGCAATAAACATCCAAAAATTTACATGTTTGAAACGCGAACTCCATCAACTGTCGGAGCTCTATTTCAGGCTGAATTTTCTAAGTGTCCCAAAGTCTTAAGGCGCATATAAATGTTTCTCCGTATTTAACTGTTCAGTACATGCTAAACGCGGAAAAAACTAAACAGCCGCTGCTACACACACGTATGGACCGCGTTGAGCAGAGAGGAACCAATCCACACCAGCTGTTGCCAAATTTTATCGGGTAATTTAATTTTTTGCATGGAAACTGTTTTACGGATTTTTTTGCTTGCACTGTGTTTGCTGCAATGCGTGAAGTATTCGTGCAGTCTTGTAGGCGCTAATATGCGTTACACTGAAAAAAAATAATATGCTGTTTTAGCATCTAGGATGTCAAAAATGTGTCTGGTGAGCCCAAGATGCTACCTTTACTGCCCTCGCACTTAACTTTACGTCCTATGAATGCAAATTCAACTGCGTGGGCAATCAAGGTAGCATCTTAGGACCACCAGACACATTTTTGACATCCTAGTTGCTGAAACAGCATGCCATTTTTTTCAGTGTACATGCCGATCGCCGAGCCGAGGGCTTCTTCTTTTCATCTCAAGGCCTCGTCATCATTTCTCTCTAAGTTCAGGCCAAATTGCGTGTTTGGTTTCTCTCTTAATCGACTAATTAAAGGTGCTCTCTCTTGTATCACTGAAAGACGACAAAATTAGAAATGACTATACTCTCGGGAAATTTAGAGATTTTGTCGCCTTCTCTCGTTTGTAATTTTTTTTTCTAAATTCGATTTTTTTTATACCTATACATTTAAAAAAAAAGCGCAAAATTTGCCGCCCCCTATAGATTTGCCGCCATGGGCCGTGGCCCATGTGGCCACCCCTTAATCCGGCCCTGAACCAAAATGTATACCATGCGTAAGCTTATAAACAGATGTCGTGCATCTGAGTTCGCCTTCAATTTTGCCGCATACGCAACAAACATATCGGGAAGTGCGAATAGTTATCTAATTGAAGAGCACACGATTATATCACTCCACGAGCTTTGATTAAACCCATGAACGATATTGTGAACCCCTCGGTAGATGTCGTCCTTGATGTCGTATCTTTCGTGTTACTATAGCTCTGGCATCTTGTGTCTCTTCTACAATTTTATTCTAAATTTGTGTGCGATATTTAATCGCACTCAAATTGAGAAAATCACAGCCTGAAAAGAACTCCCATGCGTAAATTACGACTTTATAAAGTTGAGTCAGTGGCTCACCCACTTTACTTTTTCTTGATATCTTGGCAGATTTGATTGGATATTATATTGTCCCTCAATTTTTCAACAAATTTTTCGATTTTTTTGCAGCTGAATGTTACCTGCGATGGGTCGAGGGATCCTTGATGTTTTTAATATTTCAGCCTTGTTTGCACCTGTTCTTAGTTTTTTCTCTGTCGACTTCCTATTTTCGGGTTGTGGTTGTGCTTTTTCGGTCCATCAATTGTTTTACACGCTTTCGAAGGTGAATTTTCGCGACTGGATTCAGTTAATTTTTTGGAATAGGTGACTACTGTATCACCGTCGGAAAATCTTATTCTCAGCCAAATACCGCATTAGATTGAAAAAAAGCGCGCCAATTGGCCCATGCAACACGACTCAATCCACGATATAAAATATCTTACAAATTATAATATAATAATATAATTTACAAATATATATGCACTTTTTACACTTTACTTCACCACCATCACCTCACCGCAGTTGTTGTTGCTCAGTTTTTCTTTTTTTCGCACAGAACACCTTCATATTTTGTAAAAAAAAATTGGTTACTTTTCGACCTTCCAAAGGGCAGAGATGGGTCGGGAAACTTTGGATTTGGTTCAGACAGTTGATGATGAGCTCAAAACAGACTGATGTATCGGGTTGAGAAAAAACATTCTTCATTAGGATTTGGTTGAAAAAGTCAATCAAATCCATTCGAGAAAAGCCTTAAATGCGCAAGGCTCGTTGCTGCCGACTTTCAAGGACCGCCGCCACTGCCTCCGGTATTTGAAACAGTTCTTCGGAAAGGACACCTTCGTTCTTGTATGAGACTCTAAAAATTTAAAAATGCACAAAAAGCAAGGCTCATCTGAAAATGGACTTGTTCCTTTTCCGAAACAACCGATTCATTTACCTTGAAGCGAGGCAGGATCGAAGTTGGCTTGTCTCTTGCGCGACGAGCGTTTGCGTCTAAACAAGAGGCCTTGGTCCCTGGGCGCCGCGCCGCACAGTGGATCGAGTCAATCCGGGAGGTTGGACATCGAATTATTTACTAAAACTGCAAATTTCGATGTTTAATCCGTCACATTTTACATCTCAAGGGGTGCTCTTAGAAGGAAATTTCACAAGAAAACCAATGAAACCACTTTCAGAACCTCACAGTTTTGTATGAACGTAGTTATAAGCGTTTCAAGTTTCCGAATTTTGCCCGACCTCTCCCATTGACTCGGTTCACTGTGCACCGCGCAGGGCAAGCTCTCCGGAGTCGAAGTCTGGAGGGAGAAACTCAGGAGCGGATATAAAAGCGCACTTGGCCACCGAGCGCCGCCAGATATTTATGTCCGTGCGCGTCGAAAAAGTGAACTTAATCATGAGAGCTCATCTTAGCCTGTGCGTCCTCGGGTTCGCCCTTGCGGTCAGCAATGCCGCTGTCATTAAGGGTGGCGTCGAAATCCGTAAGTACCTTCCTCACCCTATCAGTGTTCCCCTGTCGGCAATGACTTTTAAAAGGCAAATTTCCAAGACCAATAAAAAAACTATTAAAGTGCTCGTTACAGGAAATCCTTAGGAAGTAATTTTTTAGGTCAAAAACTCTTAATGAAAATTACGTAAAAATTATTACAAAATCGAAGCTTTCTTGAGAGTTTTCAGCATATTTTCAACCCTATTTGAACCAGGTTTAGCGAAAAAGAACCAAATCACATCAGTTGTTTCCGAATTTAACTGGGCAATTTAATTTTTCACGACAGAACGTTTGTGAGGATTCCTTTTAAACTGAAAATTAGTGGAATGAAAGCTATAGGGTCTAAATTACATCACAACGTCCCGAAGTTTCATCCGATGACTTATTTCTATATTTATCGATGATGCTTTTGTACATCAAAGATTTCAGAGAATTTTTGTCAAATTACGAAGGAAATTTGTATAAATTTTTAACACCAAATTTGCGACCGGTTTTTTCGAATGACACTTTGCACAGTTGCGAAACCATTGCGCACCTTTGCCTCTAAGCCCATCGAGTTGTACCCGCTTACAAAAAAGGCAAGAAAAGTAAAACATTTTGAATGGAGGTTTTTCGAAAAATTTTGTACAAAATGTCGAACGAATCCGTGTTCGCGGAGTTCAAAATAATTAATTTGGATTAGAATATGAATTCACGCCTGTCCTTCACAAATCTTGCGGAGCTTAACCGTTCGCAACTCATTTTTCAGGATCGCGAAGAGTTTTTTTCATCGGAAACTCAGGTCTCGCAGTAATTTTTCGCCGTTGTAATTGAAGAAAAAATTCTCTCCTGGAAAATTTCCTTACACTTAATAAGCTCCATTTTCCGGTTGACGACCATGAATAGCAGAACTCATACGTATAATTACTGTCATTCAATTTTATGGCGTTTTTATTTGGGTTAGAAGCAGGATTCTGTGAAACGCGCGACCATTCGTTTGTCGTTCTTTTCCTTTATTTACTTCGTTCCTTTTTCTTAAAATGTTTCTTCTGTTTTTTTTTCCCTTCTTTTTTTTTCTTCGATGCAATGTATTCACTTCATATACGTTTGGAGTAATATGATAAGTGAAAGCATGTAATAAAAAAAATCCAACGGATAAAATGATTTAGGAGATTCAAAATGTTAATATAGATGGGGGCAATAGTAGACGATCTGTTCATGTAGTGTTGCACTTTATCGTAGTTGAGTTGCGGGTGATACATTTTGCAATATTTCTCATCAATAATAGGGGCTTCAACAGACATCTCCATTATCAAGTCGGGTTTAATATAGTTTACTGTGAGGGCGACAACATTTGTAGACGAACGGATCGCAGAAAACCTCGACAAGATAATTATCACTGCGCATTGCATGGAGGACGTTTTGTGGCCTACCTCGAAACTTGAAGGAAAAATGTCAATGTGCGTAAACTCCACAGCCCCTTTTGTGATAATGAACCACTGAACAAGGTATGGATCAAAGCGCTATGTTACATGTTTTCTCCCTGAAATTTTAAGAAGTATATATGTTTCATACAACGGAATTTTGCACCTTAACTTCTCCAGGACATCTGTAAAATGTCCAAGAGGGAACGCATCTTCGATTCATATTTTGTCTGGAGCATCATTCTGCATTCTCTAAATTTTCAGTCATAGGCACACTGGAGAAAAAAACCACATTGGATCTAGAGTCCAGACTCTTGAAAACATCGACAAGAAAAAGTACTCTTGATTCAATCGGATTCAAGGTTAAATCAAAAACCCAGTCTCTTAATTTGAGCAGATTTCCTTTTGATTTAAGCTTAGATCTGATTGAATCTAGAGTATTTTTTCTTGTCAATGTCTTCAAGAGTCTGGACTCTAGATCCAATGTGTTTTTTTTCCAGTGCAAACGCCTCTCTGGAAGAACTGCAAAAGGCACCAATGTCTCAATTTCCAGCTCCCATTCGCAAAATGTTAAAACGGCATAAGTCAAACTGACATAAATCAAAGTGGCTGGCAAACTCTAGCTGGAGAACCGGGGGAAGCGAAAGGGCAGTTGGATTAGGAGGCAGTTTGCCAGATTTTAGAAGTGTGCCGCGATCAGTTTTCGATATGTACCTACCGTCCTGACGACAGGAAATCTAGGCCAGCAAATGCATCGCGGGCATTCAACGCGAGGCTGCACACACTCTTGTCGAGTAGAAACGGCGCAATTCCAGTCGAAGAGCAAATGCAGATTTGCGGTTTTTGAACCAGCACCCGTGGTCAGTCGGCGCGTTCAACGCTACTCATGCATAGGCGGATCTAAGGAAGGGGGCGTAGGGGACATGCGCTTACCGCCTACCCCCTAACCCCCCCCCTCCCGTTCGACCGAAAAAAAGGAGGAAGAAAGAAGGAAAGGGTCGGAGGAAGGAAGAAGGAAGGAAGCTTACATTTGGTTGTTATTCATGAGAATATTGACTCAAAATGCATATCAGATGCTTCAAAATTTCACCATATTTCAGAGGGAGCGGGAGCCTCCCTTCCGCCGCCCCCCCCCCCCCCCCCCCCCCCCCCCCCCCCCCCCCCCCCCCCCCCCCCCCCCCCCCCCCCCCCCCCCCCCCCCCCCCCCCCCCCCCCCCCCCCCCCCC